TTCTGCGCGGGCTCTTGGCCTGGTGGGTCACCGATACAGCTTTTCAGAAATAAGTCTTCGCTGCGTGCGGCCTGGGCTTAGGAGCTGGTGCCCAAGTCTGTGTTGTTGGTCTTTATCACCACCAAATACAGATTCTTATGCTTTGAAAGGCCTGGGTATTTTATGTTATTTATTGTTTCTGATATTTCCGCTGTACATTTTCCCAGCCCCCTAGCCATGTTAAACATGAGAGTTTACTTACTTATCCCTGTGATGACGATCAATTAGCATGGTGCTAAGTACTCCTTGTCACTTGCTTCCTGGCCTTAAGCTCAAGGAGCCCTGGGGCATGGTGGGCTGCTAACCACAAGATCAGTGGTTCAAACCTACCAGCCACTCCGTGGGAGAAAGACGAGGCTACAGTCTGCTAGAGTCTCGGAACCCGAAGGGGACAGCCCTGTTCTGCCCTGTAGGGTCACTGTGAATGAGGCAGGATGGACTCCGTGACCGTGAGTTGATCCATTTGGTTTCTCCATTTGTACAGCGGGGCTGATCAGCGTCTATTCCTCCACAGCTCCGTTGTGAGACATTAAAGGAGTTGAAATGTGCCATTATGCTACCTAGCCTATCGTCTTTATCATTAACCATTCTTACTATAGCCTTAAACGAGTCAAGTAGGAGGATGGACTCCTCGTGATACCCTATGACATGTAGACTCTGAAAGATCAGGTGATGTGCCTAAGCCACCGTCTCTCTCACAGCCATCCAGTCAGTTCTGACCAGACAGGACAGGGTTTTTCCAAGACTGTAACTCTTTCCTAGAGGAGAAAGCCTCGTCTTTCTCTCGTGGAGCGGCCAGTGGTTTTGAATGACTGACATGGGGGTGAGCAACCCACTGGTAACCATTGTACCCCCAGGGCCACACAGCTCAGTCAATGGCAGGGCCGAGTTTGGAACCCAGACCCGGGTTGTTACAGGCCTCGAGCTTCTCCTTGCCACCACTCTGCACCTGTCAGAGCAATCTTACAACATAGAGTGGGAATTAGAGGCATGACAAGGTGTCTTTGACGCTTGATTTGCCAGTGACCTTGTCATGCAAGGAAATGAACCGTGTGGAAACCGCCCATTGTGCGTCGAGGCCTCTCTGAGGTCTGGGCAGTGCGTGAGTGCGCTGAATTTGACTCTGTTTTCTTACAGGTACACTTCTTAAAAGAGGGATGTGGAAACGACAACATATGTAATAGCAACCTTAAGCTGGAATATAAGTTCTGTACCCGGGAAGGAAATCAAGACAAATTTTC